CAAGTTCTTTAACCCCTCCCCGTCTCGGCCTCCTCAGACGGAACAGGAGAGGATCAGCAACCCACTCTGAAGGGCTGGCGTGAGGTGTAAAGGCGTTAATGCATGTAAAATACATGCGCTAGCTCTCATGCTTCCGGCAGGTGAGTCTTCTCATTCAGAAACAAGCCAGCTCCCTGCCGGCTCCCCGCATCTCCTTCAGGAGCGCCCCCCGCCCCGCGCCCCCCAGCTTCACTCCGATTTTCCTCGGGCGCTGCTCAGGCCTCCTCCAAGAAGCCATCCTGACCCTGCCCAGGGGAGGAAGTTCTTCCTCCGGGCCCCCGGGGGGCGAACTGGGTCAGAGCCGGGCCCCAGGAGTGATGGCGGGGCTTCAGGTCGAGACCAGAAAGGGCTCCTGAGGGTCCCCCAAAGGAACGGGCTGTCCGGGAGCTGATGAGGTCGCCATGTCCGGAGGCTGCCAGGACTCGGGGGACCGGGAGAGGACACTCCCGCCCCGAGGCTGGTCAGGCCGAGCTCCTCCGAGGCTCCGTCCGGGGTCCCGGTGGGGACCGGCGGCGGCGGCCCGTACCTACGCTCCGCCACCTCCGCGTCTCTCTCCAGCTCCAGCAGGTCCAATTGCTTGGTCACGAACTTCTCCACAGCCGCAGAGGCCATCGCCGCCCCCGGCCCGGGCCCAGAGCCGCTAAGGTCCCTCTCCTCCGCAGGGCCCGTGTTCCCCGCGGGACCGGTGTTCCCCGCCGGGCCCGTACGTCGACGCACAAGATTCGCAACGCTTCCGCTTCCGGCCGAGGCTGCGGGAAGATGGCGGCAGCCGTGGGGGCCTCGGCACTCTCGGTCACCTTTGGGCGGCTGGTGTCTGCGTGCAGCCGCAGCATCCCGAGACCTTCGGGGCCCGGAGCGGGTGAGACCCGAGCCGCGGGGTGAAGGGAGGAAGCGGGACGAGCAGCGTTCCCCGCCGTCCCGTCACGTGCGTGTCTGGGTCCGACCTCGTGCCTTCTGTGTTGACAGTGTTTGTGGTGAAGGTGGCGCGGGGTTTGGAGTCGGGGGAACCTGGGTTCAGATGCCGGTACCCTCAGTTAGTAGCTTAAAGACTGACGATAGCCCTTCAGCTTTTGTATAGACTGCGTAGCAAGAGAGCAAACAGGCTCAGAGGAGTTAGGTAACTTGCCCAGGGTCACACCGCGGGGAAGTGGGAGAGGAGGAATTCAGAGGCAGCTGGGTCCGGCCCAAAGCCGGTGCCTGAGCCCCTGCCCCCAGGCTGCGAGCCACTCTCCGAAAAATGCTGGGCCGGCCGGTTTGCTCAGTTGGTGAGAGCACACCCTTATATCACCAAGGTCACGTTTTGGATCCCCAAACCGGCCAGTCGACAAAGGTTGTCATGAGGCTCAGAAAAGGTTATGTTTGTCAACAACGCTGTACATCTCTGCCTGAAGACGGTTGGAGTGTGTGTGTGCAAATGTTTATGTATGTTTTAAAATTGGGGCTGTTTTATTACTCTCAAAGAAGTATACTCACATCTTTGCTCTTGAAATGATGTGTCTTTGATTTGCATAAAATAATTGCAGAGCTCCTTGGTATTACCCAAAGGCGCTGTAAACTTATGTTTACACAAAAACGTGCACGCGTATGTTTATAGCAGCTTCATTTACAATTGCCGAAACTTGGAAGCAACCAAGATGTCCTTCTGTAGGTGGATGGGTAAGTAAACTATAGCACATCCATACGGTGAAATATTATTCAGCAGTAATAAAGAAGTGAGCTATTAAGCCATGAAAAAACATGGAGGAAACTTAAATGCATATTACTAAGATAAAGAAGCCAGCCCCTAAAGGCTGCATACTGTATGCTTCCCCTATGTGACATTTGGAAAAGGCAAAACTATAGAAACAGTAAAAAAAAAACGGGTGGGTGTAGGGTCTGGGGCCATGAGGGAGGGAGGGATGAATAGGCGGTGCACAGAGGGTTTTTACGGCAGCAAAACTATTCCATATGATACTGTAATGGTGGATACATGTCATTGTACATTTGGTCAAATCCATGGAATGTACAACATCAAGAGTGAACCCTAATGTAAACTGGACTTGGGTGATAATGATGTGTCAGTGTAGGCTCACTGATGGAACAGATGTATCACTCTGATGGGGGACATTGGTAGTGGGGGAGGCTGTGCGTGGTGGGGGCAGGGTGTATATGGAAAATCTCTGTACCTTCCACTCAATTTTGCTGTGAACCTAAAACTGCTCAAAAAAATAGTCTTTCAAAAAAATGTAAAGCTGGGCCAGAGGCTGTGTAGATGACAAGACTGGCCATGAGTTGATAATTGCTGAATGTGGGGAGTGATAACTGAGAGTTCATTGTTCTATTCTCTTTACTTTTGTATGCTTGACATTTTTCATAATAAACGTGGGTTTAAGTAGGCAGGGAAGTTTTCCCAAAAGCAGTGGGACTTAACCATTCTACCAGCATAAAACCACCCCTTAATACCCTGTTCAAGTCCAGACCCACACTTGAAGAAAGAAAAGTAGACACAGTAAAGTGAGTACAGAGAAGGGGGCCAAAATGGGAGCAGATGGGGCCTTGAAGAGCGAGTGAAGGAGACAGGATGGAAAGACACAGTCCCAGACTTCAGGTATCTAAAGGAGCTTGTTTTGGGGCCGGCCCGTGGCTCATTCGGGAGAGTGTGGTGCTGATAACACCAAGGCCACGGGTTCGGATCCTATATAGGGATGGCCGGTTGGCTCACTGGGTGAGCGTGGTGCTGACAACACCAAGTCAAGGGTTAAGATCCCCTTACTGGTCATCTTTAAAAAAAAAAATTAAATAAAGGAGCTTGTTTGTTCCCTGTGAGGCCAAGGGCAAAGCTAAGAGCATAAGAATTATAGGGAACTCGCTAACTGAACAAAACTAAGCTTTAAAAAAAAAAAAAAACTTAGCAGAAACTTGCTAACCGAGGGCCGGCCCGGTGGCGCACTGGATAGTGCGCCGCTTGGGAAGCGCGGCAGCGCTCCCGCCCGAGGGTTCGGATCACACGCACCCAAAAAAAGCTAGTAGGGAAACTTGCCAGAATTTGAACCCAGATCTGCCAAAACTCCAAAGTCAGACCATAATTGTGTCTCCCAGTGTGTAAATATCTATCAAATACTTTGTGCACATGTGTGAACATGCCAAACTTTGAATGATTTAAGTATAACCTGTATTTTAATACTTAGGACAGCATCATAAAATTAATTTCTAAATGAATATTGAAATTTATCCAGTTTCTATGTTTAGCAATTGGTGTTAATTTACCTCTCATAAGTGCTAGAAAGGTTCTACAATACCTCCTCCAGCCCTTTTATACTATTCAAGCTTTTTATTAGCCCTAATGTTGATTGCCTTCCCAGGGCATCTACTAGTTTGAGTATAATTTGTCTAATTAAATTTAAAGAAGAGATGTTTCAGGGAGCACCATTTCATCATTTCCTCTTAAACTCTATGCTGTGGACTTTAATGAGGACCTAAACCCCATCTTAACCCAGCCTTAGTTTCAGCACAGATGAGCTGTGCTTGTTAAGACAGTCTTCAGTTGTCCATGAATTGAGGGAGTGATTCAATTTTAAATAGGACAGTTGGGAAAGGCCTCTACTTGAGATGGTGTTGAGTGGAGACCCAGAGGAAATAAGGGAATTAGCCTTGTGGATACCTGGTGAGGTGGGGGGAAAGGGTGACAGTATTCCATGTGAAAAAGAGCCAGGGCAAACGATGCAGAGCAGGCATGTGCTGGGCATATTCCAGGAATGGCAGGGAGGAAGGGTGGCGGGTACAGAGTGAACCAGGGGACAAGCGTGGGAGATGGGTTCAGAGGGACAGGGGATCACGTTGCCCCCCGCCCTATGGGCCACTGTAAGGGCTTTGGCTTTTTCTCTGAGTGAAATGGGAAGCTCTTGGAAGTTTTAGCAAAATAGTGGCATGATCTGACCTCAGTGTTAACAGAATCTCGCTGCTGTGGAGAAGGGAGGCCAGGTGAGAGCAGGGTTTTAATAATAATCCAGACGAGGGGATGACTTCTCCGAAACCATTAAGTAGTTAGATCCTGGGTGATGACTTCTCCGAGACCATTAAGTAGTTAGATCCTGGGGCCCTTGGAGGGAAAGCCAACAGGATTTGCTGATGTAGGCTGAGGGGCGAGAGAGAGAAGGTCAGAAATGAAGGAGGTTTTGGGCTGAGCAACTGGAAGGATGAAGTTTTCATCATATGTGATGGGGAGGGGTGTGGGAGCAGCAGGCCTTGGGGGATCAGGGGCTTTGTTAGATTTGAGACACACGTCTGAGGTGCAAGTGGCCAAAGTAGATAGGTGGATGTGCAAGTCCAGGAGAGAAGTCCTGGCTGGAGGTGTAAACTTGGGAGTCACCAGCGTGAAAGTGACATTTAAATCTATCCAATAGACGCAATCACCAGAGAAACGGCCATAGATAGAAAAGAGGTAAGGTCCAAGGGCTCAGGCCTGGACGTACAGGTTGGGAGAAGAGAGGAGAAATCAGCCAAGGAGACGAGAATGGGTGAATCTCAAAAGGGTGAATTTTATGGTATGTAAATTATAGCTCAGTTTTTAAAAACTGTGGTTATTGGGAATATCTGTGCTCTGCTTTTTGCACCTAAGTACTGTGCATTTTATTCCTGAGCCTCTCTTCTCCTCACCAGACTTTGTCCCTTGGTATATTAGTTATCTCCCGCTATGTAACAAATTACTGCAAAACTTAGCAGCTTCGGACAACAAATATTTACTACCTCATGCCATTCCTCAGGGGAGCAGCCTAGCTGGGTGGTTTTGGCTCAGGGTCTCTCCTTAGATTGCATTCAAGGAAGTCAGCCAGGGCTGGAGAATCTGCCTGCAAGCGCACTCCCATGGGTTCCTCCCCACAGCAACCTCTTGTAGGGCAGCCCACAGCATGGCAGCCCCTACAGCCAGAGATCAGAGAGAACGCCATCCAAGACAGGAGTCGCAGTCTTTCGTAACCTATTCTTGGAAGCGAAGAACCATCACTTTAGCCACAGGCTGTTGGTCACACAGACCGACTCATAGGGGAGGGATGACACAGGTGAGAAATCCAGGAGGCGATGAAGGTCACTGGAGCGTCTTGGAGACTGACCCACTCTTGGGCACAGAAAGGGTCTGAGCCTCCCAGGCCCTTGGTGGTCAAGGAACGAGTCACTGGGTGGGGGGTTCTGCATTAGCCACCTTTAGACAGTGTGGTGCACACATCTCGACACACTTAACCAATTCCTATAAGTGATGCTGCTTTAGGTGTGTTCACCTAGATTTTTCCTTAGGCAAGTTGTGATGCGGTGGCTTAAACCAGACACCAGGAGCCAGCCTTGGGCATTCAGCATGTTCCATGTAGTAATTACCTGTTTCTCTCATTCCTCAGCCTCCCTTTGGTCTGTGTCTCGGAGGTTCACTTCGCAGAGCGCTTCGTTTCCACAAGGGTAATATCAAAATGTGGGTTTTGGTGATTCCTTTCTTTTCACTTGTAGGAATGTCTTTATAAAGTCAAAACTTCCTGCGTTTGGGTTTTTGAGAATATTCATATTTTCTCTTAACTTTTCTGACAGTATTTTCCTCAGACCCTTAAAAGAAATATAGACAAAACTGCAAAGAGTCCAGAGAGAAAAGTGCTCTAGGCCTTACGTAGCTGTCTTTGACTGTGGAGAAGCTTTAACTCCTAATTCGGGATTTCTAACCAGGAAGGTTGTGTCAATCTCTAGGAGTAACCCATGTAATTTGAAAAAGCATATTCAATGTTAAAATTTTATACTTAGAAAATAATATTTTAAAGTATTATAGCAGGAAGTAAATTTGACAAAATCTCACTCACTTGTAGGATATACAGGAGCAATACCAGATAGTGGTTACCTGTAGGGGAGCTCTGGGGTCTATTCCTAGCCTGCTCCTCACAGCCCCGGGACCCTGAGCAAGGCTCTTGCCCTCAACAGAAATAATGTCAGTTTCTATCTCCATGGGGTTTTGTGAGAATTAAATAAATAAATACATTTAAAGAGCTTAGAACAGCACCTGGTGTATCATAGGCACTCAAAAAATGCCAGCTGCTGTTACTGCTGCTGCGGCAGCCCCAGCAACGCTGGGGGTTCTCAGCAGCAGGAGGTACAGGAATCTTTTTTGTTTCTCAAACGAAGTTGAAAAACTGAATCTAAAAATAGGAAGAAAGAAAATTGTAAGTGGGTATTTTGCTAGGTCTGGCTTATTTGTGCCTGTTTCCTGTGTGAAAGGCTACGGCCTTCCTGCCAGGGTCCAGTTTTCCCACTTGTTTTCTTTTAGCAGTCTTCACCTGTGCACAACCACACCCAGTGGAGGAGACCAAATGTGACCTCGGTCACACAGAGAGCAGCCCCTTCTGCTCATTGTCCTCCAAAGTCATTACCCAGCCCCAGAGCATGGAACTCGTGTTTCTAGGTGTTCAGACACTTAGCATAGTGGGAAAGCATTCACGTTCTGATGGCAGCAGCCACAGAAGCTTGAAAACACTTCTGAATATTTGATTTGGGCTCAACTAACCCCTCTCCCCTCTATAGAGGTCAGGAAGTTGAGAAGACCCCACCTCCTTCCTCTCTTGCCTCCTCTCCCCAGGCTCCCTGCCCACCTTCACCTCATCTACTCAAGGCAGAGCCCAGGTGACCCCAGTAACAAACAGACTAGTGGCCACAGTGCTGCTGCTCAGGGACTAAACACTGGCGGGTTCTCACTCTGCTGGGTACTGCTGGGGACATGATCCTATCTCCTCCCACCACAGCCGTTTCAGGCAGGTGCTTGTATTCCCATTTACTCAGTTAGACACCAGGATGCAGAGTCGGTAAATAACTTGCCCCAGGTCACATTACTGTCAGAGACTCAGTGGGAGCTGGGGTACAGCCCTAGGTGTGCCTGGCTCCCATGTGAGCAGGAAGGAAGGGTAGGCACCCACCTGGGTAGTCACAGGTGGGTACTGATGGAATGGGGAGAACAAGGATGGATGTGCAGAAGGGTAGCTGGAGCCTCACCTGCTGTGAGGCCAGGAGCTGCTTGCCCTGGTGTCATGTGCTGTAGCCAAAGCAGAGTGAAGGGCTGAGCATTCCAGCCTGCATCTCCAAGAGGAAGTGTGTTCTGAGGATTACAAGGATGGAGAGCCACACCAAGGAGGGGCTCCTTTGGGACAGCATGCCTAGAGTTCCTGTTTGGACTGCTGAATGATTAGCCATTGCTCCTTGAGACACATTGCAGTTCTAAGAGGGAATGTGGGAGCCTGTCCTTAGGATTATACCGAAGAGGTGGTATATGTCCTGAAGAGTGGATGTTGGTATTACCCGGGGTCACTGGGCCTCTCCTGTGAAGGTGAGAGGACGGCTCACTCTGACTGAGGGCAGCTGTAAAACAAGGCAAATCATAACTAAAGCCAAAATGTTTCATTATTTTAGTTATTATTTTAGTTATGCTAAGTTTCCATTTACATTGTTAGGGCTAGGGCTCAGTCCCTTCAAACCCCTTGTACGGGCTGGGTCACCAGACCCCTCACACGCAGGCCCATGCTAGGTAATTGGGAAAGATCCCAGGAGCTTTTGGCAGACGACGGGAGCTCAGTCTTTAGCTTCCTGAACAGCAGCAGCTTAGAGGTCCAGTAGCTTACAGCTCTGGCGGTGGCCTCGTGGAGGGTCCCAGGGGCACTAGCAGCAGCCACCAGCAGCAGTATGGGCATCTCCTGTAGTTCCCCCTGCCCACCCTGGGGGCATCCAGAGGGTGGGGGACACTAGATCAGAGCCACTTGTTCTTTATACTTAAGTCATAACCTAGGACACCTGGGTGCACATGCGCAATTACATTAGACAATAACCAAGGAACACCTGGGCGCACGTGCATATTTACATCAAATGCTCCGCAAGATTCTGAACATCTGAGGGGCCCTGACCATTTTCCTATATTTTCCCAACAGCAGCATCCCCAGCAAGCAGCCTGAGGATACAGGACCTGAATCAGTGACTTGCTAGGTCCTTGTCCTTCCTAATGTTTTGTGCACAGCCATTTCTTAGGGAATTCAAACTGCCTTTTCACATATGTGTGACGTGTATGTGAAATGTTTTTTACAGATATGTTCCTAAAACATCCCTGAGTTCGCCACCTTGGCCAGAAATTGTTCTGCCAGACCCAGTTGAAGAGACCCGACACCACAGAGGTAAAAGCCTTTCTTGTGGGATGGAAGCTAGAGGGTAGCACCCGCCTCCCATGGCAGTTAGCCACAGAAAGGTCACCTGGCCACAGGACAAGGGTTTCCCATCGCTGGGTGCTCGGAGACATAACTTACAACACTGAGTACTTGTGAGCAGCTACCGTGTTGCAGGCAGGTGCTGTGAGTGGAGGAGGGGCCTCGGTCCACCTCTCGCCTCCTGCTGTGGGTGGAAACGTGGGTTCAGGGGCAGGTTTTCCCTGGTCAGAAGAACAGCTGAGCGCAGCGATAAGTGGAAGCTGGCGCTGCCCTGTGTGCTGGAGAAACGGGTGTCGCGAATTGCGTCATCCCGGAGCAATGAGGAGGGCCAGCCACTGTTGCACTGAGGGAGTGCCAGGTCCTCAGGTCCCCAGAAAGCTGGAAATCCAGATTATGGAGTGGAATCTTCTTGTATTTTAAGTTACTGTTTCAGGTATCCTGCAAGATAAACAAACACACCAAGAGTTCTGCCCTCACTGCCAGGTGCAGCTTCTGTTCTTGACTCCGTGTCTAGGGCAGGAACTGTGTTGTATCCATCTCTGTGCTCAGCCCTAGGCCAGGCCAGGTGGGTCAGTGCTCAGTAAGCGCCCGTTCAGAGTAAAGGGTGCAGGTTTGAGGGGCTGTGACCTGAGTTGGGGAGTGACAACAGAGCAGGGAGCCCATGTGGGCGGAGGCGTGCAGAAAGAATCCAGCCTGGGGAGATGCAATTCTGGTGTTCCTGTTGGCAAAAGGCCTCTCCTTTCACCTGATTCTAATTGAAAATGAATTGGACCTCTCAGGACTTGCACGCTCACTATTAGGCTCTTTATTACTAAAGAATGGGAATAACAAGGTGGAGGCCTGCCCCACCCCACAGTTGTAGAATTGGAGCCAGGCATGGGCATTCTGTGAAGTCTGGGGGAACTTCCATCTATAAAAGCCCCGCATGCCAAGGTGCCAGTGCTCCTGGGAACAGCAGATTGATCCTTGCCTGCGGGGCAGGGAAGCAAGGCCAGGCCGCCAGCTGTGAACTCCCTTCACAAGAGGCACCAGCTATCACGTCAGCCCTGGGGCCCCTCCACCAGGAGCTCATGTCACACTGCATTGACATGGGGGGAAAGGGGGGCAGCTGCTGCCTTTCCAGTTGTAGGTGACTGCCCGGCTGCCTTTTCCTCGCAGAGGTCGTGGGGAAGGTGAACGAGCTGATCGCCACAGGGCAGTACGGTAGGCTCTTTGCCGTGGTGCACTTTGCCAGCCACCAGTGGAAGGTGACTTCTGAAGACCTGATTCTAATTGGAAATGAATTGGACCTTGCGTGTGGAGAGAGGATTCGACTGGAGAAGGTGAGACTGTCAGGCTTCTTTGTGTACTCAGGGACTTTGTCACCAAATACGCAATCCCCACTCCCCTGTTTATCACTGAGGAGGCTTCCTCAAGTCTGTGGTGAAGGCCAAAAAAGCCAAGGCTCGGAAGGGACAGGAGGGAGAGAGTGGGCGGCCGTGGAGGGCGGGGGCTGGCGGGCCGGGCGCCAGGAGGTGAGGGCAGGGCAGCCGCTGCCATCCAGAGGGGTGCCTGGCTCGGCTCATGTGCTCCTCAGAGGCAGACGGCGCGTTTCTCCAAGGATAAAACATGTCTTTACTGCTTTGCCTTACCGTCCCGTTAATGTGTTTCCATAGAAAGCTGTTTCATTGAGGACATAATAAAAATCCCAATTAGGGATGTAAAGAGTTTTCAAGCGCACCTTATGGGGAAGAGTGTTTATGCTTCTGCTAAAACACTACTCTGAGATTAGATTTGACAGCTGCTGCTGTTTTTAAACAGTAAGGAGTGGTTTAGAGCTATTTCTCTGGGTATTAATTTATTTTACTGACCATTCAAAATTGTGTGGTCTGTCTTATTTAGCTGAGCATTTCTAGCCTTTAGTTAAAATTCTGTTTGCTGTGTTTGGGGGGGTCCATTTGACTTGCTTACTCTACTCATAAAATTATAACAATCTCCGCAGTAGTACTTTTGCTAAGATGTATTTTATTATTAATATGATGGAATATCTATATGACTTTTTTATTTATTAAAACTCTCCTTTCTTTTGTGATGATAGAGTTTTTGTGCATTCACACCAAGGAGAACGTTAAACTCTGTTTCTAAGATGGTCTCTCCTAACCTGTGATCTGAGCTCGACTATTTAGCTCAGAGCTGAACTAATTAACTTTGTAAAAGCTCTCTTCTTCTTAATGGCGTCAGTGTCTCTGTCACGAGCTCATGAACAAGCACATTTATTTTTTTAATGTCTCAAATGAGTAGGACACTTCAGTATCGTATTTGTGAAAATTTTTTTAAAAGACATTATTTTGAAACATTAACGAAAAAATTATAGAAAGCCGCACCTAATGTAGATTATTTTGCATAATTTAGGAAATCCAGTGCTAGAGAGCATGTCATGCTGAAATTAACACTAAAGATACTTGTCTTTAGGACTGGCCATTTAGCTCAGTTGGTTAGAGTGCAGTGTTGGTAACACCAAGGTCAAGGGTTTGCATCCCTGTACCAGCGAGCCACCCAAAAAAAAAAAAATTTATTTTTTTACTATTTGTCATCTAATATACATTGTCCATTGATGTTATAAAATATACTTTGTCTTTAAACATTTAATTTTGGTATAATTGGATTTTTTCTTATCAATATAATTAAAGAAAGTCTTCCAGCATCTAATAAGAAACACTAATGTACTTGGAATGCAAAGATGTCTTCATCTGTGGCCACAGCGTAGTGCTGCAATTCTCCCTGGATTGAGGATCGTTGCCTGGCTGTATGGAATTTTGCAGAAATTAAAATAATACGATTGAACCTAAATATTTATAATATCCAGTATTGTGAACAGCTCAAAAAAACGTCATGGTACAATTTGTACATTTTTTTCTGTGTATGTTATGTTTCAGTAAAAGTTATTTTTTTTAAAGGCACAGTTTACATAGGAGGTTAACAGTTGTCCGGATGTCTAACCACGGCATCAGTAATCAGATTTTCCGTGCCCTGTCTCTGAGGTCTAGGGTGTTCATGTACAGTGGCCCTGCTGCGATACCGTCACCACGTTGTTGGCTCGCATCCCCAGTTGCTTAATGTGAAAGGAATAATTAGTTAGCGAGCAGATCAGATCCCTAGCACAATGTTTTTACTTCTAGGTAACCAGCGTCTTCCTCATTTTGCAGTGTGTTCACATCACGACCCATTGTTATCAACTTTTGTATTACTTATTACCAATGAGCCTGTGATGAAGTGTGCCTGTTTAATCTTTTCAGGTCCTGCTGGTTGGGGCGGACAACTTCACGCTACTCGGCAAGCCACTGCTTGGGTAACATGCTGACAAATACTGGGCTTTGTCTGGGGCCTGGGGCTGGATGTGCAGAAGGTGGACGTGGTGCAGTTAGTCCAGGGAAGGGGTTTGTATTCACACTCGCCACCAGCACTACACACAGCACGTTTATACATACAGTAGTGGATGAGTAGTGTCTCCCAGGGAGGATTTCCAGACCAAATTGTCGGTCTGTTATTGGTTCATTACGGCACGGCACGTTTCAGATTTGTTCACAGACCCCACAGAACTGTGTTTCAGTATGCTTTTGCATAGTTTTCAAAATGTTTACAGTGAGGACATATTACTTTTAAATCAGCAGAAAAGAAAACTTCATTTTAGAAATTATCACTAGTAAAACTGGAAAATGATGAAGAAGGTAATCACTGTTTATTTTTCTTCTTCTAGAAGGGATCTTGTTCGAGTAGAAGCCACAGTCATTGAAAAGACAGAATCGTGGCCAAAGGTCAATATGAAATTCAGGAAAAGGAAGAACTTCAGGAAGAAAAGAAGTAAGATAGAGAAAATGTAGCTGGTGCCCTGCGTCCCCATTGCACTCTGGTGGTTACCCCTGTGTCCTGCTGCTGGGGCCTGGCACCATGCTGGGTGCAGGGGCCACAGAGAAAGGTTAGATCCCCCTAGCTTTCCAGGGCTGACAAGGAGAGGCCTGGTGGAGGTCACTCATAACCGCCAGGGTTGTAGGGGAGTGAGGCCCCCGGGAGACTTCAGACACTGCCACCTGGAATGTGGCATGGCCAGTCCCCACCATGTGAACATGAACTTTCGCCTTCACCATGACCTGCACAGCATGTGCCATGAGGCATGTCCAGGAACACCAGTGGCAGCTTGGTACATGCTGGAACACTGGAAGCAGCTCTCACGTCCACGTGGAGAGTGGATAAGTAAAAGGAGACTGGAGTGTTCTCCAGCAGCACAGGGAATGAACTGGCCTGTGCACGGCAGCAGGAGTGGGCCTGAGGTTATACACGGGATGAGCCATTCTGAGAAGCTCAGAGCTGAGCAGAACTTTGTACTGTTAGGTGCGTGAAAACACACACATTTATAAATATATACTAGAAAAATTTAAAGGGAGAGTAGTAAGCACAGAATCTGGGGCTGCGGCTGGGGAATGGGAGAAGGAAGAAACTCAGAATGGGAAGGAATTGGTGGTGGTCTCACCTTCAAGCTAATTGGTAAGATCGTAGGAGTTTCATGTATTATTTTACCTTGCCAATATTACACTGAAATCCTTTAAAGAGGGAAAAATGTGTCAGCAGAGTAGAAGCGGGTGAGGACAGCATCCTTTGAAGGTGATTAAAGAAGAGAAGTGGCTGGTGGTGGCAGTCACGGCCAGCTGGGGGCAGGGCTGGCTCGGGGGTTTTTTAAGTAGTGGGGGCGGCTGGTGGTAGAAGGGGGGCGCTCCTCCAAGGGCTGGGGAGAGGCAGGAGGGGAGAGGAGGAGGCGACAGGTGTAGTGGCAGAGGCTCTGGGTGCTGGGGAGGAGTGAGCAGGGTGACAGGAGGGGCGGTGGGAGGGAACAGTTGAAGGAGCAAAGGCTGCTGTGTGGCCCAAGGCAGGGAGGTGACAGAGTGGTGCTACCTGGACGAGCACATGCCAGCTGGGCCTGCCCTAGTGCTGGTGCCGGCAGGTGCAGCACAAGGGTGAGGATGAGGGAGGAGAAGGCGCTGGCAGGACAGGCATTCTTAGGTGACAGATTGCAGAACCTCAGCCCCAGAGGGAGGAAAGGAGCCACAGGGGGCTGCTGGGTGACGAGTGATGGCAGAACAGAGTCCGAATGACTGATTTCACAGGTGCCAGCTTTGCCCATGGGTGTCCCCTCCGTGGAGGACACACAGGCCCCGTGATAAGTCAGTGAGGAGGCAAAGGGGCCAAGGTGTGGGCAGGTCAGTGATGGGTCAGCAGGACGCCATCCAGGATGGTGGTCACCCCGGAATCAAGCAGAAGCCCCCATTTGGTGGTGGAGGTGCACAGTGAAGTGCTGCTGGGTGAGAGGCGGTGCTGCAGGGCGTCTCAGCACATGCGGGGAGTGTTGTGGGATGGGGAGGTGAGCGCCAGTTTCCCCAGGGCGGGCGAGGCAGTCAGCACACAGCACGAAATAAACACAGCCGCGTGGGACAGGGGACATGCTGCTGGGGCGGCTGGTGCCGGGGCAGCACCTCTGTAGACAGAACAGACAGCCCTGGTGTGCAGAGTGCCTCCCTGTAGCTTATTGACAGTGGCAGAATCTGTAGCCAAGCCTGTGACTGGGTCTTCTCTTTTTCAGTTATTGTGACCCCACAGACCATCCTACGGATAAACACCATCGAGATTGCTCCATGTTTGCTGTGACTGCTGAGCTTACATTTACAGAAGTATAAAAATATGCTCTGTTTCCAAGTTCCTGTGTGCTGATATAAAGGCTGTGTGTGCCTGTACCAGATGGTTTTAGCGTCCACACCATGTGTGTTAGCAGTAGGCTCCCTGGGCCAGAGAACTAGGCGCTCAGGAAGGACAACACGCTTGGCCCCAGGGCCGGCCCCTAGAGGCTTGTGCAAGAGACAAAGCCTGTTGTTGGCAGCCCTCTAGCCCTATGGTGCAGGGTGTGGGGACACAGCTGATGTGAAGAGGCTAGACCTAGGTTTCACTTAGGGGTTAGGCAAAGGAAAACGCGAGTGAACCCCATCTCTGAGTGATCCAAACACGCCTGTTCTCAGTGTCTGCTTTTTGCAAAAGCTGGATCTGGGCCCAGCATCCACAGGGAGCAGAGGTCACAGTGCTGGATGGGTGGCACTCTGACAGGAGGCACCAGGAGGGCAGGAGGAGGGACGGCCTGGGGAAGTGGGCACAGCACAGCTGGGAACTAGATGTGACAGTAGCAGGGACAGAGCCGAGGGGCCGAGGGGTGGGGTGGGATGGGGTGGGGTGGTTTCTGAACTTGGTCCTGAAAGCAGTGGACAACCCCGGAGAGTTTGGGGCTGCTCATGTCTGTTTGGGAGTAAGCCAGGCAGGCAGCAGGCGGAAGACCCACTGGGAGCTAATCCAGGTACAGGGACAAGATCCTGGACCCAGAGAGGCCAAGGGACTCAGCAAAGAGGATAGAGGGAAGGACTTGAGGGCCTGGCTGTGCGGAGGAGTGGACTCTCAGAAGACCTCAGGCCCCTGATTTGGTTCATTCAGTAATACAGGTCCATCCTCCAAGGGACTAGTTGGGGCTCTCAAGTGACACAATTATACCTTTAACCAAACCAAGGTATTTTCCTCTACACATTTCCTTCAAGAGTTCCATGGGGCAGTCACCCTGAGATCTGGAAATGGCCTCTCCCAGGTTCCGGTTGCCCTGTAGTGTACCCTGCATACAGCAGGGGGCGCTAGTCCTGCTGGCTGGGGGTTTCAGGCTCAGCTGGTCCCCTGGCAGCCTGAGCGGTGGGGAAGGGGGATCCTGGAGCATCAGGCCTGCGCAGCTCCCTTGTTGGTGGCAGGACC